AACAGAATATGTAAAAAAAAAATACCGGGGGGGGATACTTTCAAGGATTTGTTTATTGATAAAAGGAGCCATTAAAGTTGTAAATATGTTTTCATTGTATACCACATTTCATACATAAATCCACCAGGCTAATGAAATATTAGAGCTATTTACGAAAATGCTTTATATTTATTCATACACTTACATTGATTTTAAAACATCTAAAAAAATAAACAAATAAAGATTGGTGCATGATCGATACATTCCATCGATATCTAAGTACCAGGTTCTTTGTCCATAAAGTTTATTGTATTTTATTATTTCACGGTAATACTTGTATATATCTTGTGGAATTCGATGCTAACTTAAATTCAGATTGTTATTATCGTATAATCATGGAACGCCATTTCTGAGTAGCCAATTCAGTAGCACCTCAACAAGTCACACAGAGTAAATAACATTAATAACGTCTATGTCTGTCAATAATACAAACCACACGTGCTTAAAAATCTGTTTAAAACGTACTTTAGATTATATAAGATTATTATAGCTTGGCAGTTATCCCATAAAGTCTCATCAGTTAAATGTAACAGTGGTTGGAGTGAAGGAGACCATTGCGCTTTGTGTCAGTTTGTATCTTCGTAGAACGGATCCTAATTCTTCAGTACACCTTTCAGACACCAGATGACCTACTACAAAGACATTAAGCAGTTCTAACAGACGAAGTTGGAACAACATGTTATTTAGCCACTCTCACTAAGTGTTTACAATTTGTTGTCCTATATATATATATATAAGTGGGTACATGCGCGCGCGCGTGTGTATGTGTGTAAAAAAAAATGACGTAAAACCAAAATTTTATTTTGCTCACGTCGTAAATCAAATAACATAACTTGTTTTAAGAAAACAAATATAGCTCAAAATATACAGAAAATCTGTAGACATAATGGCTACAACTTTAGCACAAATCCCCTTTCTGTTAGTTGTGTTTTTTTAAGATTTTAAATTATAATAACAGAAATTAATTTGTATTGATTTCAGCGTCACCGAAATAGCGGGTTTACTTACAACAAAATAATATATAGCATTTTACAGTGTTATCTGTGAATGACATCAACTACGAATCCTGGTTACAGAAATATGGCTAAGCATAAGACATTGTTTAAGGTTAAATGAAAATGTGCTTCTCTTTAAGGCTTAGGAACATAAACATTACGATTCTGAACCATCATGTTACACAAGTAATATACTGAAAGTTACACTGGAGTTAACGCAAATAATATCGGAACAAGTTCAAGTGTAGATATCTCAGGCCCAACCGCAAGGGACATCTCTGCCACGTGCTTCTCTGGTGCACTGTTTTAGATCGTTCCTGATATATCTGTCCCACACAATGTCAACTCTCCTAATATTACGGGACTGGTTCATCAAGCAAGGCAATATTACAGACTTGGTATACTCCTCAAATGTTCTGGATTTTCCAGGTGTGAGCATATTCATTATAGCAGCTCCATCCAGCACCTTCATATCCACTTCTGGAGCATCAGCTTGTACCTGAGCGTCTGTCTATAGACACTGGAGTAGTTCTGATTTCTTTCCAATGTACATTTTTCCCATGGAAGAAAGTGAGGGTGGGCAAGGTTGGTTTTCATGCTTGGAAAACTCTGTTAAGTTCCCATCCTTTTCCTGACAAGCTACATATAATTACGCAAAAGGTTGCAGTCAGACTTCAGTAACATTAACTGTTTTTTTTTTTT